ACGGGTCGGGGCGCGTGTCTGGGTGCTCCCGGGGGGCCAGCCGCCGTGGATCAGGAAACCTCTCTGCCGGGATGGCGGCTCTCGGCACTTTTCCTGCCAGGCAGAGGGCTTTGCTCTGCAGACGGCTTGTCCTTCACAGTTCTGGGGATCCACCCAGACCCGGCAGATGAGACTAGACAACCCCCTCCCCAGGGGGTGGGTTCCAACCTGGGGCCCCATCTCCACACAACGATCCTTGAGCATCACTGGGTAAAACCTGGCAGAAAGTACCCTCACGATACAGGCAGCTTGCCCTGTCCCCTTGTATGCTGTAGGCGAACCGTGCACTCTGGCCCCCAAGTGAGGCCTCCCCTGATGTGTCAGGGAGGTGTGTACCACCAGGTGACAGTCACCTTGGCTCGAGCTGCTCATCTGTGTAGGAGGCAGCTCTTGGCTTGGACTATTTCACTCTAACAGAAAAAGGATAGTAGTGATGCTCGAGAAAAGCAGCAGGAGGCTCCTTAACGTAACGGGGACACAGGCAAAGGCAGAAGTGACGAGGTGGGACAAGACAGCTCCCTAAACGTGCTCACGATGGATGCAGTGGGGAAGGAGAGAAAAGGGAACAAAAATCAGGAAGCAGGTAAACTATTCTGGAACCCCATCTCAAGCCGGCCAGGCTTTCTGGGACGGGGAGGCAGCCTGAAGGCACCCAAGAGCCTTGGCCCTGCTGCGTGCAGGACACACGTGGGACACCGCAGGGGCCCAAGGCCACCTCACCAGACCCCCTCCTCCATGCTGCAGCCTCGTGGTCTGGGAGGGGAGCTGAACTCCCTCGGCTCCAGAGGTGGCTCCAAAAGCACGTGGCTAAGGACTCTGGTCCGATGGTGGTCACCGTAGCCGGCCTCGGCCAGGAAGAAGCATGGCCCCTGACTTGAGGGGAAGCCTGTCTTAGGACAAGGCTGAGCTGGCCGGCAGGGAGCAAAGGCAGGAAGCTCCAAGACAGGGTCCTGAGGAGCCTGGTGGCGCACCGCCCCCGCCCCCCCAAGCCTGAGCTGGGCCTTTCTCCTGCGACCGAACACATCCTCATTTCACAGGAAGACGAGGTGGCAGCCGCGCTCACACGTCCCTCGCCTGGTGCCCCAGGAGGAACGGTCCCCACAGGGCCACTCACCAGCACGCGCTCGCTCATGTTCTGGCCAAACACGAATTTGTTGCTGGCGGTGTCGGCACTGTTGGTCGAGTTGTCTAAACTGAAGAGAAGACAAGCCGTGGGTGTGGGGCAGCCAACGGGAGCGGGGCAGGCAGGTGGGCACTGGCGCGGGCTGCACACGCACGGGCACGGCAGGAATGGGTGAGAAAGCCTGGTGTAGGCCCCGTTCAGCCTTCCCTGTGGGGGACGGGCCCAGCACGTAGGGCTCACAAGCTTCCAGGCTGGGCTGTACCAGACGGTAAACACACCCCCGCAGCTCCGCTCCCATTTCCAAGTATCCACTTCGTGTGGGCACCTTCGCCCCACGGCCACCTTCCCTGACCCCTGGAGGTGGGCGTCACCCTCGGGGTGCATGAGGACACCGCCTCCGAGAGGCTGACCACAGAGGTCAGACCAGGAGCCACCCACTTCCCGGAAGGAACTCGCCCGTCCCTGGCAGCAGCCGCCCCCCGTGAGTCACTGCAGCTCTGTGAGCCCCGTCCCCTGGCCTGCACAAAGGAGGCGACACCTCCCACCCTTGGGCTGCTGGCAGGTGACACGGGATGACCTCGGAGCTGCCCTCACCATCACATTTCATCCAGTTTATGATGTCCCAGTTGTAAGTGCGTCCCAATTTGGGAAATGCTGCACTGCCCAAAAAATGGGTCTTTAAAAAAATATCTGATGCTGGGGTGCCTGTGTGGCTCAGTCCGTTAAGCGCCTGACTTCGGCTCAGGTCACGAGCCCGTGGTTCGTGAGCTTGACCCCCGCATCGGGCTCTGTGCTGATGGCTCGGAGCCTGGAGCCTGCCTCGGATTCATGTCTCCCTCCTTCTCTGTCTCTGTCCCTCCCCACCCTCCCACTCTGTCCCTCTCTCTCGCTCTCAAAAATAAAGATTAAAAAATTTAAGAAACCATACGTGATGCACTTTGTTCCTTCCCATCTCCCACTCTGTCCCCCCTCTCTCAAAAATAAATAAAGATTAAAAAAAAATTTTTAAAAAACAACATCTGATGCACTTTGTTAATCAGGGTCCAGGCAGCCAAGTGCGACGTCACCACCATTCATGCCAGGCCTCTCCAACATCCGAGCCCATGTTCTATTTGCTCTGCTGGCCTGTCTCCCAGGCAGGGACACGCTTTCCTTCGGAAACACCCGTGGGGCCCCCAGGCCATCAGTGAGCACTGCTACCAGCAGTGTTCACCAGCGGTGAGCTCGGATCCAGTGGAAGGGTCCCCACAGGCTGGAACCTGGTGGGTAACAGGCAAAGCAGACACTGGCCTACTGGGTTCTGCTCTGGGCATGAGATCCGGGTGATAAAGATCCCTCTGAGGGCCAAGCAAAACTTGGATCCTGCCTTGTGTGTCTGTCGAAGCACAGCACCCTGGCCCCTGCAGAGCCGTGCCCAGAGCGGGAATAAAGGGAGAAGCTGGGGATGTGTGTCTAGGATTCTGGTAAAATCCGCCCCCCGCCCCCGGCTCCTTCCTGCCCCCGGTGCTGTCTCCTGTCTGGGTCCCCAGTTACGGGCGATGGAGGACCACAGGCCCCTCTTGCAGCTGGGCACAGGCCCAAGACACACACCTGGAGCTGATATACTGAAGGAAATAGTTGGTCGCAGTCGGCGTTTCTGAACTGGGATGTCCGGCATTCTCCATGTCAGCCACTTCAGTGTTCTCGTGTATTAACTGGGAAACAGAGAGGCACAGTTACAAGTCGGAGACCTGCCTGCTCTGGCCTCTACAGCTCAGCCTGTCTGCACAACCCTTAGGCCACATGGTACATTTCCAGGACACAAATCCTATCGTGCACAGGTGTGAGGGCGTGTGTGTATGTGTGTGAGTGTGTGTGTGTACGTGTGGACATACCAGGAGTGGGGCTGTAATCAATGTCTCCATTTCTGCTTTTAACGGTGAAGATATAAAACACAGTCCATAAGGCATGAGAGAGCTTTTTCTTTTTTGTTAAAAAATCAAACCCTCAAGCTGGCATCTTGTTGGCATTTTCAACAATGCTTCTGTAACGTGACCACAGTAGACTTACAAATCTGATACCTTCAGGGGTGTATTATAAATGTGATAAAACCATCGTTTCTTGAGGGCTCCTCTAATCTAAGTGCTGTGCCAGCTGTGTTAAACAGCTCATTGAATGGGACCCTCCTGGGACCCCTGAGAGATGGGCATTCTCAGCCTCATTCTATGACCGGGAAAGCAGAGACTCAGGGGTGTCCAGAAGTCACCCCCACTGAGAAGCTGGCATTTTATTTTATTTTTTTTAATTTTTTATTTAAAAAAAAATTTTTTTTTTTCAACGTTTATTTATTTTTTTGGGACAGAGAGAGACAGAGCATGAACGGGGGAGGGGCAGAGAGAGAGGGAGACACAGAATCGGAAACAGGCTCCAGGCTCTGGGCCATCAGCCCAGAGCCCGACGCGGGGCTCGAACTCACAGACCGCGAGATCGTGACCTGGCTGAAGTCGGACGCTTAACCGACTGTGCCACCCAGGCGCCCCAGAGAAGCTGGCATTTTAACTGAGACCACGGATCGCAGGAGCCCCGGGCCTCCAGAAGAGAAAGCCCCGCCCCAATTTCAAGCAGCCATCCCCCTAAACCCTAGGAACAGACTCAACCTGACAGCCCAGGCCAGACCACTGCCCCCAGTACAGGGGATCTCCAGGCCCTTCCTTCTCCTGCTTCCTTCTCCCTGGAGTGAGCAGCCTCCAGGGACTCATTATTTTGGATAAAGCCACGCAACAGCAACACTACTCTTCACCTCTGGGCATCTGGGTTTCTCCTGGGCAGTGAGCACCAAAGCAGAAAGCGGGCGGCAGAACCCAAAGTTCTCTATGCACCCGAGAGACTTGGGTTTCCTTATTTCAGGGCTTCTCCCTGTCACCATCCTCGACGTCGGGGTGGGACCCCTCTGTGGGGAAGCCGCCCTGGACCCGGTGGGGGGCTGGGCAGCATCCCTCGCCTCCACCCACTGGATGGCAGTAATACCTATGCCTTAGTCGTGACAACCACAAACGTCCCAAGACATAGTCACTGATGTGGTCTCTCAGGCTTCTAAAGGAGCTCCTGCCGATGAGCTGCTGGAAATGGCCCAGAAGGACACTCTGTCCCTGTGGCCGGACAGGCACTGCCGCCCAGTCTGGTCTCCCAGAGCGTCAGCACACGGGGTCCAGAGCCCAGTCCCCTGCCACTGCCAGATGCTCTCCCCCCGACTCAAAATCCCCTAGACCAACAGGCCCTGGGGCAGCCAGGAGGAGACAGATGCCGTTGCCTCCTATGGGAGAGAAAACAGTTACCTTTCCGTCTGCCCTCCTTTAAAAAAACAAGGTAATGCTTCTCAGTTAGGGGTGACTTAATCCCACAGGGAACACTCGACACTACTGGGGGACACTTTTGGTTGCCATACTGGGGGGAGGGGTATATGCCTGGCGCCTAGAGGGCAGGGACCAGGGATGCCGCTCAACGCCCCAGGACCAGCCTCCAGCAACTCAGAACGAAGCGAAGCGGTCTAAGTGCTGCTTTGTGCCCAGAGAAGCCCTCGAGGCAGGCGACAGCAGCCTCTCTGGCGATGTGGAAAGGACCGATCACGCGGCCTCCTTTGCCTCCAAAGCATCGGTTCTCAGGGACGGGCAGGCTCGGCTGCCTCCCCGTCCGCTGCTCCCAGGAGAACAAGGGGCCCGCCGCGGAGGGTGCGGTATGGAAGGCGTGTAAAGCAGGAAGCTGCTGGACACGCCGAGAGCCACAGGAGTAGCCCGCGACGCACCGTGTGCACCTCCTCGCACCACCTCTTCTGACGGGAAAGAGGAGCCAGGCGGACCGACCCGAGCACAAGCACTCACACACCTTGACTCTGTCCCTCAGGTTCTGTCCGAACACAAACGCCTGCTGTACAGCCCGCTCTGCTTTCTCACAGTCCTCCCCGGTACCGCTAGGCTCATTCTTCTGGGGGTCTTTGTCCTAGAGGCACAAACAAGACAACCGAGAAGAGGCGACAGGTTAGCCCCGATGAGCAAAACGGGCCCTCTCACGCCTCACGTGCTTGCTGTCTTCTCTGGCGGGGTCCCTGGGCGTCCGGGCCGCCTCAGCGTCCCCCGGGCTCGCAGCAGACTTGCAGGAGACTTACTGGGCTGCTGCCCCGGCCCCCGCGTTTCCAAGTGGCGGCAGGTGGCAGCGACGGTTCCTAATGTTAACCCTGCAAAGTGCGGCTGGAAGGCGGGAGGCCGAGGGACGTTCTAACACTGAATCGCAGATGACGCTTTTCACCGCTTGGGCTCCAACATCCACCCGG